TTATGGGTGGCTTGAACGTCTTTGTGCTGACATGGGGTTCTCTGGCGACCGGGGAATTGGGCTCTACTGGAGTTTTTGGCTATCTCGGCTTTTTGTTCATGCATGACCCTTTCTGTGAGTGTAGCAACTCGAGCGATACACGTGTACTTGTGCTACGGATGGCAGACTGCTATTTGGCGAGTTAAATTTTGTTGGAGGATATGGACCGGTCGAAATCAGCGTCCGGCAGGACCAGATCAACACTTGGCGGTCGGGAGGCAGTCTCCAAAGCTTTTGCATCTCTCTGATTTGAATGGATGGACAGATGATGGGCAAAGTGTTGCCATGTGTGAGCTAGTTACTGGTGAACTGCACGCGCCGATGCAGTTGGGTAGAAAGAAATTTTTTTTTCCCTTCCCCAACTCCCTTTTTCCTCCCGATAAAGGCATTGCAGTAGCCCGTGAAGCTCCATGTACCACCGTACCGAGTGGGGCAATGATGAACAAGCGGGAGTCAACACACCCTGGGTAGCCCTGAAAGTCCATTGCGCCTACACTATGGTCTGGCCAGTAAGACCTGCTGCTGGGAGCCTTCAGCTAACAAGTCAGGCGATCAAGGAGGGTGCGATGTCCTCGTGGACAAATCATAAGGGAGCCGAGGGGAGGACAGAGATTTCAGCAGCTCTAGGAGCTCAGGCACATGCATGACGGCGGGGCAGATTGTCGGTTGCACAGCAGCAGGAAAATGCAGCACAGGCTGTACAGAAGAGAGGGTGGGGGAAAAAAATACAACGGGGAAGGGGACAGCATGATGCAGACGTCAAGCCGGAAGGAAAGAGGGATAGGAGGACAGTTCGTCCTGTAGCAGAGGCCGTCACACAACCCAAAGGGCGAACCAGTGCATTCGTTGAACAAGGTGACGATGGGGGAGAAGACGCATAATGAGAGCCGAAGGGGACAGATGAAAGCCCGAGGCGAGAGGTAAGATGGGTATGTATCAACAAGTCATGAGCACAGCAGCTTACCATGGGTTCATGGTTTTGACTGGAGGAGTTCATTCCTTTTCATGCGGCTAAAGCATGACCGTGACCGTGACCGTGACCGTGACCACGAGCGCCGAAACGAGTCTGGGACACGAGATAAGGCAGTGTAGGCGACTGGAGACTGGAGACTGGCAGAAAGAAAAGCCCGGGGCGACGACAGACTTTTTCGTGCAGCTGCAGCCATGGTAGGTGCTGTCGCCGGAAGTGCATCTGTGGGAGCTGTCTCATTGGAATGGATCAACGGAGGATTTGGTGGTATTATTGGGGGACACGAGTTGGAAGTGAGGAGTAATATTGATATGGGAGCGAAGAGAAGAAGACGAGAGAGAAGGCAAGATGATTCATGATTCAGGTTTCATGTTTCATGGGAACAGCAGCGGGCTCAGCGGGCTCAGCGGGCCGCCTGCCTGTGGCCCTGCTGTGACGTCGGGTGCCAAGAGCCCGACTATCGGAAGAGACGAGTTTGTAATGACAGCCAGATATATGGTGGGTTGACGTGGGCAACCTGCAAGCGACCTGCCAAACCCTGCCTCACTTTGCTCGTTGTGCTCAGCTGCCCCACCAAATGCTCTGTCATTTGATCCACTATTCCGCAACACTCTTAATTCTACGTGGCTGCCGCTGCCTCCCTCTCATCTGCGCCCACCACCCTTGACCACCCCCCCCCCCTCTGCACATGCTCTCTTTTACCCAACTTACACCTCACCTGCAACAAGATCAAACAATTAGTTTGCCCGACAAAACCAGACAATGATCATCACCTCGTCGTCCTAGTCACCTTCCCACATCACCGCATAGCTAAGACCGCGCCCGGAGTCTTTCTCCAACTCCTTCGACCTTGGTTATATCCACAGGCTCCATCTCCAGTTTCGCTTCTCCACTACAACCACCACCACCAAAGCCATCGTCCGATTCCCCAGGAAAACATAGCTCAGTCTCTCGGCCCATATCCTTTCTCACACGGCTTGCTGCTTGTCGGTCACTCGCCTGACCACAATCCGCCTTACTCTCCGCCACCGTCAACTCCGATCTCGAACGAAGACCTCTTTCCACTCTATTCCACCTTCGTCCGCAAACCCAAAAACCTGGCAGTTCGGCCATCACAGCAACGCAACCTCGACAACCAAGCGGAACCTCACACTTGCATTCCATCACATCGGTTCTGGAATCGACATCCAATCCCACCGCCATGCCAGTCGAAGTCCGGCACTCACCCCCTCCTTTGCACCAGCCGGGCTCCGGGAACATTCGACCCAAAGGTGGGCTAACCAACGTGACCGCCTTGGTGTCGGCGGCTCATTAACAATATGTGATGCAGGTATTTTGAAGAATCCGTCCTTCTCATCCTCAAGCGGCCATCCAGGCTCTCCGACCAAAGACGAATTTCACCTCCCGCCACATGTGCCCCTCGACCCAAAGGAAGAGAGAGAACTCGTGCTTCAAAACACCCTCCAAAATGCCGGCCATCGCCGCTCATCTTCGGCCGCCAGACGGGCATCCGCCTCCCGCCGTCACTCGGCCGCGCTGGCCGCAAACCATGAAGAGGACCCCGACAAGATGCGTCTAAAGTGGGACGAAGCGAACCTCTACTTGGCCGAGCAGGAATCAGGCGGGCGCATGAAAATCACCGAGCCAAAGACCCCTTACCAATACGGAGACACCATGATGGAAGATGACGACGAGGAAGATGTGGCTATCGACCCGCGATTCGTCAACGTCGATGAAGTCGAAATGGCAAAAGCCCCCAAGCCGAACAGGAGACATCGCGAGAGCGAGATCCCTGGTCTTGAGCTCGGTGAGCCGGAAGAGGAGCTGTCTCCGGGAGCGTCCCCAGAGGATGACAGAATTGTTCGGGGCTCGAACAGCCTGTCAAGAGAGTCAAGCAAAGAGAAGCATGTTAGTGTCAGTGATGGCAGTGATGTAGATGGATTCAAGGAACAGGTCGGCATGCCCACTCGCGAGGAGCAGGAAAAACATCGCCAGTTTGAGGAGAGGAGGAAGAAGCATTATGAGATGAAGGACATAAAGAATTTGCTTGGGTATGCCGTTCTCCCTCCTGCCACTCTTTGGTCGTCCTGGAGTTTTTGCTAATGTCCATACAACGCAGACACCCTGAGGAATTGGATATGGAAGATGATGATGAGCCTCCTGTTCCAACCGTCATGCCGAAACATCTACCCGAACGATCGGTCAACGGTACCCGCTAGTGTGGCCCCGGCATGCCTGGTGCCCCTATTCAAGCCTTTTGAAATGGGTGTCTCCGCCATCGTTTCAGTCAATTCTCCAAGCATGACGGCTTCTATATTCGGCCATATTTCGCTATATCGGATCAATGGGATAAATAAGCATGGCGAAGGGCACCAAGCACTAGCATCGACACACAGCAGACAGCATGGGATTGCACAGATGATGGAGTGGGTAGAGCGGGAAGGAGCATTTTGTCACATGATCTCCGCCGAGTCTCAATGCCTGTTTCTCTGTTGAGCAACGGATGGAGATCTCATTTCCTTTGGTATTGCATCATTCACAACTAAGCCAGCATCCATCCTCCGACTGGACCACATGAAGACGGTCGATATGTCGGTCCAGGATCCCCACCAACGTTCAATCACGGTTTGCCGCTACGTTATATTTCAGGTTTCGTTTTGATCAGCGTTGATCGACGCCGTTGAATGCGCTTCGATGCCGCGGTTGGCATCACTCCGAAGGATCACTGAAGTCTACAGCGCCGACCCTTCGAATCCTTGCCTAGCCCTCCCCCACCAACTTACGGAGCTATTCGTCTCCGATTCACCATCGCCAGCAACTTGTTTGGTTCGGCGACCGACATTCGAAGTTTTTCTACTTTTTCATCAGAGAGAGACGAGCGACTCGGGAAATGCGGGGGAAGCTTGAGTGGCCACGAGGGAAATTTGCTATGATTAGCGAGGCACCAAAAGGATCATGTGTCAAGGATGGAGCTTTGATTGATTGCACTGCGCCGCACTACAACGCAATGCACATCCATTAGGGGTCCCACGTCCATGTCCAGCCCAGAGAAGCAGAAAACCAAAGCAAAGGGATTGATTGATTTAGTGGGTGGGCGGAAACCAAAATTTTATAGCATCACTTGCCAACTTGCCCCTTGCTGCTTGCGACGGGCAACCTACCTACCATGATTCGTAGTACCCTATTAAGTAAATAGGACAACGAACATTATCGCCACATCTTCTACGGTCAGCTTTAGCAGTGGACACCATAGCCATCCGAAGAATATTGTAATTCCATCGAGTTGCTACGGAAGGCCACAACCCCATAACTCACCACTCACTCACCACCACCATCTGATCTGATCATCATCCTTCTCCTCCCCCTCTTTCCGGCCCTGTGCGCGCTACATGAGATGTCCCCGACTCCCGACATCCTTCCGTGCCCAGGTCGGTAGCGACCGTTGAAGGAAGCTTGATAATGGGGATGGTCTGTATTTAGGACGCTATGAATGCTCATAGTCCTGGCTCTAGCATCTCTCTCACGCGCGCGTATATCTAGCATATATCTAGCTATGCTAGCTAGGCCAGATGGTTGGAGGGCTAGAGGGTCAGATGGTTAGAGATCTCGATGGTCAGATTGGTTTGATGCTCTCTTGCTCTGCCTGGGCAAGTGAGCGACCAAGGGAGCAAGGCAGGCAAATAAGCAAGCAAGGAAATACTCGGCACTAAGAAGGAAGAACATGTCTCATCCACCTTTGGGTATGTGTTTTTGTCTCATGTATATTCTGAATCCTTAACCCATAGGTCCAACCACCAGCTACCGCCTCGATAGGTCCCATCCAAGCGATCGGTGTGGCAAGCTGGACGGCGTGGACTGCTATGTATAGAGTATGTACCTCCAAGTGCCCTTCCAAGCAACAAAAAAAGTGTCCTTTTTCATGTCATGTCCAGATGGCCCAACATAGATGTACCTGTGGATGGATCCAAGAAATAGGTATCACAAGGCGTGCTCAGCCAATCCACAATTTGCCCAAGATTAAACTCTGCACGATATCCTCGTTGCACATCACTTCAACCTTAACACCGGCGTGCCTCGCCTCCAGCTTTGCATCTCCGTCTTCGTGTTCTTGGCCACGTTCGTGTTTTCGCTTGCCTCGTTTACGGTCTCGCTCGGGTTGGATGCCTTTTTTGTTGGACGTCGATGTCAAGAATGTCGCCTTCGCAGCCTCTACCTCTCGATCGTCCACGAAGACGTATTTGACTGTCTCACTGTCACCCAAGTCAGTCTCCAGCCTCGCTTTTACAGCCATCAAATCAGATTCCAGGTCAAGAGTTGCCGGATCCAGGGCTCGTACGAGTGAGAGATACGGTCTCCGCTTGGCCTCAGCTTTCCCCTTGCCCATGACAACGACGACTTGCGAATCGGTCAAGATTTTCGGTCTCAGGTTGATAATGTCTTTGACTCTCAAATCCTCGGCGCTTGCTGAGAGAGGCAGGATGCGCGACCTTGTTGCCCCTTCGAGCTCGGCGCTGTCTCCAGCAGGGAGGAGGTAACTCTCCCAACCGATAATCTTGTCAGATTTGACACAAAGTTCGAGCCATTTCCCACTGAGGCAAGGCAGACCCAGAGCCAGTGCTTGAAGGTATTTCTCCTTTCGGGAGTGACGGTCGGCGAGGAGAGCTGCGAACGAAAACCCAGAAAATTCCTCTTTCAGCAGCACCGAGTCTGGCTTAAAGAGGTCCAGAAAAGATTCTTGTAGAATTACACCGCCGTTGCTCTGGACAAGGTCCATGAGACATCGCTTACGGTTGTTGTCTTCGTATGAAATTGCGAATGCCATCTTCCTGAATAGAGAATTTGTCAAGTCAATTTGTCCAGCCGAGGGTCCCATTGCAGCCATCCCTCGTCGAGTCCGTGATGAGGGTGTGCTTGGCGTAGAAGCTCGATCCAAAGGGGTGGAAATGCCAAATGAGAGCACAGCTTGGATTGAAGGCTTGTACTGGTAGACCCGGTCTTTCATCTGGCCCCACATGATGCTGTCTAGGTATATTGCTGAGATAGGCACCTTTTTGACAGACTCAGCGGTCGCTCTTCCCAGCATGCTCTTCCGTTGCTTTGGGGCCACTACTAGTGTCCGGTAGCCACGGATATCAGTCACAACGGCTTGGTCGGTCGGGATATTCGCTTGCATGATTTTGTTTTTGAACCCTCGAATAACATGAGACACCTTGGGAAAGCCTTGCATGTCTATCTTTACCTGGTCCCCAATGCGCAAGTCCAAGCTCCGCACACCGTGCTCGTCGACTTCATCCGGGTCGTATCCTTCCCATTGAATCAGGAATCGCCTAGACTCAGCATATGGACGCCCAAGACATATGGCAGGGTGATAAGCACGGCTTTTGCCGTTGAAGCATGCGAATACCATGTTGGGCGCGATTTTTCGCTCACTCGAATCACTTTCAGCTTCATCGTGAGCTTCCGGTTCCGCCATTGCATTCAAACTTGCGGACTCATCAAAGCCGATAGGATCGGCACTGTCCTGTTGATGTTGGATGTCGTCGAGTAGAGGAGTCTCCAGCGCAGCGGTCTTCACTGATTCAAGTCGATTGTTTAACGTACTGGTAATCTCCTCCGATAGACCATTATGTTTTGCCTTCGGCTCCATCTTTGCTGACGGCTTGCTGATAGAGACGTCCTTTTGTGGCGGCGGGTCTCCGAGGCTCCATTCCGATGACCGAGCTGTAGAGGACACGATCCGAGGCCGCGTACTGATAGCACTCAGTGCCTTCATTGTCGGCCTCCTTTCCCTCCGCGAATATGTTATAGGTGGCGACACTGCTTGCACAGGCCCTTCTGAGCAACCATTAGCTGGACCTAATGAAGGCTTGCCGCAATCCTTATGATCCTTCGACAGGTCAGAAGCCTCGTTCGATTCGGGCTCTTTAGAAGGGTTTCTCCCCTGTCTACTATCAGAACGACCGGCCGACACCTCGACCTCTTTTGATACCCTTCTGTTGATCCGCCCTGGAGGTAGACTTCGTCCTATGGGGCTTTGGAAGTTCGGGTCTAGCTGCAGAGCCTCACTTGCGTCAAAGCTGACCGGTGATTTGGATGGCGATGGTTCCGCAGCAATTTCCGCTAAGCGTTTCCGTCGCTGTCCTGGCGGTGTAGTGAGAATAGGAGGACTGCTCAAGTCGGTTGGGGCAGGCTGTTCAGCTGCGGTGGAAGCTAGCTTGTGAGTCTGGGCTGTGTCAAACTCCTCATGACTCTCCGCAACCACAGGTTGTGGTCTGGCGTCAGAGTCTTTATCACTTTGGATTTGTTGTTCGTTGGAACTAGTCTCTGGAACGGTGCTCGTTTGAGGTTGGTGTGTTTGTGAGTTCGATTCCAGGACAATGCCGTCAACTACAGTGCCTCTTAGCTCCTTCTCAGTCGTGAGGTATTCGTCAGCCGCCGCTACTGTGTGATGAACAGGTGCGCCCGAAGCGGCAGGCTCTCGATTTGTGGGAGTAGCTCGTGGAGAGGATGATGTTGGAGACTGTGGAACAAAATCAAGGCCTTCATCAGCCGTAGAAGATCTGGGAACCTGCGTCGTAGTCCGACGTGGCTTCAGGGATCGTTCAGGTTGCGAATCTGCCACGGCAAACAACTGTGGGCTGCTGAGAGCCATTGCATGATCATAAATCCCCGGGCCATGTCGGAGCAAGGGGCTATCTTGTACGTACATAGGTATGTCGGTCATAACCCGGTGGAGTCTTGCGGTGGTTTCAGGTATTCGACTTGCTCTATCAGAGACATTCTCCTTATCTTCTTCGTCGACGGCCATCATCGGCTGACTCGAGCGTGTCACTGCGACAGAGGTGTTATCCTCTTGCTCTGTCTCCTCCTCACTTTCATTGCCCGAGATCTGTCGATCGTGTCTGATGGGGCTTGAATCACTTGGAATTCTGGGCCACTTTAGAGGCACAGCGCTCTCTGGAGAGGTTCGCGTCGGTCCAAGAATGGGCGACGATTTTGACAGAGAGATACTTCGCATGGATCGCTTTGATATTGACGAAAGCTGGGCCTGTATCTTTCGATTGCGTTCAAGCTGTCTCCGCTCTCTGTCAAGGAAACTGTCCTCGTTACCATCAAAACTATCCTGATCAGAATCTTGGCCCTCGTTAAGAATCGCGTGTTGTCGGCGAGCCCTTTCTCGCAGCGCCTGGGACTGCTTTACAGAGACATATCGAGAAGCCGGTTCCGTTGAGGCTCGCTTGAAGTCGGAAATGGGCCGTAATGGTGATGAAGTAGCAGCTGTCATAGGCCGCGGCTGTAGCTCGATGTTCGGTGAGGGTCGGTCGGAGTGCAGATCTCCATTATCGCCGACAAAGGGCGAAGTGTTTGCTTGAGTCGCAGCAAATGCCTGGCTCAGACCCATGACATGAGCACGGCTTTCGGAACCTCGCAATAGCGGATTGCGCGGCAACCCGGGGCTGTCAACGACATCTCCATTGAACCTTCTCTTCCTGCCAGCAGTTGCCGGTGTCTTGAATCGCTGGGACTCTGGAAACTGGGAAAGAGCACGTGGTGACTTTGTGGGAGAGGAGTCGACCTCGGCGGGCTCCGCGTCTTCCTCTTCTTCGTCGCTGGCAGCTCCCTTCTGCGAAACCAAGCTCGAAATTAGATCAACATGGCCTTCATCACCCTCATGCAATGTTGCTCCTGTCTCTTCATCTAACTCTTGATCCAATCCAAGGTCGTACTCTTGGTCTTCGAGGTGTCGCGCACTTCTACTCTGGTTGATCAGGTGCTCATAGCGTGAAGGGGACAGTTCTTGTGTCGGAGCATCGCTTCCTTGGCTGGTCATCTTCTGTGTGGTGGCAACTGGTTTGTTGGACGCGAACGCTGACGGAAGGAATTGGAGTTGACTTTCGACATTTGTGACGATCAACTGAGAGTCGGGGACAGTACTGGGGAGTTCAGGGACGGATGCTGGTTCAGTATCGGGGAAGGGGGTTTGAATGTCGCATTCTGTCGTGTCCTGGACTTCTGTGTGCAGGTTGTGTTCCGAATCTGGCCGCTTATGGCCCGACTATGGCGCCATTAGCGTCTTTACACGAACCAGGGGCGATATAAATACCTCCAACGGCGCGAGAATATCTGCCTTGATAGCTGCAATGTCAATACTTAACAGACTATCCGTCGCCATGGATGCGGATCAATCCATAACGCGATGGATCCAGGCGCAGGTCCTGCATATGGACAATGGGTCAATGAATTTGAACAATGGGAGGGGGATTTTGCCGCGTCAAAGAGTTCATGCACGATACATTCAGTAGCGCGTTGCCGATTAACGATGTATGACTCGGCTGACAAGTGACTTTGCGGGGCAGAACAGTGATAGCTGGGACTTCGCGGAAAAGTTATTCCGTAGCGTGCGTACCAACTAGCGAGTTAGTTCACCAAGGTACTAGCTCGGTACATAAATAGCAAGTAGACAAACCAGCCTTGTCCCTTGTACTCTTCAGCCTCGCGCAAATCCCGTCACCCACGAACAGGACGTCCTGCCAATGCCAGCCTCTGGCTTGAGCTGGCGCGTCGCTCTCCTTGAGGAAGATGTCCCTGAACTGGTTGCTCTGGATCATTTTGTATTAGTGGCTGATCGTACTCCTGCCTGGTATTGGGCTTCACTGACCCATGCATGCGCGACCGCTTTCAGAGGCAGAGGAACAAGATGTCGAGGAGGTGGTTTTGATCCTTGTAACTGGTACTGAGAGCTCGCTCACACAGGTGGTTCTCTTCTACACCTCATGACTCGCGAATCGCGTTCTGCACCCGAAATTCGCGTAGATGGAAGGAGGGCTATCGCGATGATTAAGGTGTAACTGTAAGTCGAAGAACCTGCGATACAGGGAAGTTGTCAGGTAAATAGCGTCTCGAGAGGCTAAACACTACCGTCCCATTTCAATATCGTGTCGTTGGACTGACAATTTCCATCATAAAAGCCGTCAAATTCATATGCTTCAACGCGAGCTACATTGTAATGGCATAGATACAGGACGACCGGGGACGGCGCAAAGATGGCGTCGAGGTCGATATTGTTCGAATTTTAGATGCTGCAGCACCTGAAGATCATGCCGGAAATCATTCACGACAGGAAAACGTCCCATGTCCATCGCAGTGTAGTCTCGAATATTTCAAATTTTGGAGAGATGTATAATACACGGATGGGAGAATATAGCCTAGGCTGCCGAGGCGCGGCTAAAGCTTCTGAGCGATCAACCACTCAAAAAGACTGAAGAAAACCATGACGCCAATCCACCCACTTTTGAGAAACCACAAGTGAAGAGGATAGATGAAGGCGAGCACATGATCAGTCCTTAATATCCCCTCCATAATAATGCGCCATAACTGTTGCAGAATCTGGATCCAAAACCTTGCCATTGGTCACCTCATGGCATATTTTGGCACACCATTTGTGCCAGTTCATGCGATAAAAGTGGTAAAGTGCCCAAATAGTCTCACTAGGTTTACGAACAAGCCCTATTGGATGAATAAAGCCTCGGTCTATGGAGAAGCGGAACTTTGTGGTGACAATAACCGTCGAGGCACGACTCGTGCGCCGGGAACGACGCCACTAATGAACAAAGTTCATCCCGGCGGGATTGTGGTTGTGGTCGAAGAAGCGTCGGAGTTTTTCATCGAGATTAAATTGTGCCACAGAAGCCCTGCCCCGATTCTCGGTGGGATTTCGAGTACAAACCCCAATATCAGCAATTTGTAATAGGTCCAGCAGTGGGGCATCCTTTCTTTGATTCGGATAAAGACAAGAAATGCTGCTGGAAGGAAGATTAACTATCTCGGTTGGACCAATGGGGCCTCAGCTTGAAGTCTGGTAGCCGTGTACCTGGATGCTTCATCTGCGGACGATCCTGTGTCAGTTACGTCCTGTTTTCTAGCAGGCTAGAAGACTCACCACATTCTAAGATCAGTTCGTTCTTCAGCCTCTCCACCGGTATGTTAATGTGGTTCTGGCACATCTCACATTCTGATCCCCATCCTCTTTCTGGTCACATTGTTGAATGGCGTATCTTAGGGAACAACCGTAACTGAGATATGATTTACCGCTGTGCGCATGAGGATTCAAGACGGAAAAAATGGCCCCTACACGATTTTGGGGGAGGATATCCAACCCATTTTGATGAATGTTATGTGACGCAAAGACGATTTGTCTGCCCTAGCATCGGGAAAGATGAGCCTTGACGACTTTGTGTCCAGACTATAAGGTGAAAGCGAGGGCGCCCTCTTCCGTTGTCAAAGGGAGCGTCCAGGAAGATTAACGCTTTGTGCCCTTCCGGAATGGTCGAAGTTGCAGTCAAAAATTATGCAAAACCCTTCTTGATAGGTAAGCTTCAACGCAGTCCTTTCGGCTATCCACTTCATGGTTCCATATTCGTGAATAATCTGTTCAACTGGGTACCTTGGAATCCGAGAATCAGGAGTCAACCTCTCGGCTCCTTAGGAAGCGGAAAGAAGAGAAGAGACATTGGAAGAGTTTCCTTACTCCGAAGCAGAGCTTTCATCCGCTTTTCAACGGGCTGGTCTTTTTCTTCTTTAACATCCAGTCGAAGCATTATTGACATGATCAGATGAGCGTCTGCGTGTCTAGATGTATCTCTCTTGCTCAGCTGCGACCATATTGAAGAAAAATATTCTTCTAGTTGGGTGATTTCAGAATCTGGTGGACTATCCATGATGCTTGGGACAGGGTCAAGATGGGCCAAAGCTTCTGCGACTGGGATTTGATCATTTTCGTGCCTTTGAGGGTGCGGAGAGCGCTGGCTCTAGTGAGAGCATCCACTCTCGTGCCGGCGGTGTACGATCCCGAAGAGCAAAGCCGAGAGACTGTGCCAGGGCTCCTTCTTGAAATTTCCAACATCTCGACATCTAAGGACTAATAAGTATTCTCACGGCAAACTCTTCGTCCAATACGTCGTCGAATCGAATATCTGCGAGACTTTCGTCAATGACCAGAATACTTTTCGCTGCACCGTAGACGTAAGCCATATTCTGGATGGCATCGTGACGTTTGTCTTCTTCTTCGAAGGCACAATGGGAATGCAAAGGGTGTCTATCCAGATATAGCAATCTTTGTGTGTTATGGAGGTGAAGAATGGAGATGGCAATTTTGCAGTTCTTTCCATTCGCTCCGGAATATCTTGTGATTGTAATTGTCGCGGCCTCTACCTGATAGCTTCGCGTAGTCTTTCCAACTGACAGATTGGCAACGAGTTTGACTTCGGATTGCCCAGCCCACTTGACCATTCTTTTAGAAAATTTGCTGAAGTCATTATGAGCTCGGTAGATTGATCATCATTTCCGGAGAGCTGTATGATAGGAACCTTGCGATCTTTGAGGATGGAAAGGAGGCTCGTTTATGCCCACCTCAAGCAAACGACATGTGCCATTTTCCGTGACATGTTTCGTTTTGTAAAATACCGGGTCGATGTGGTGGACCTGGCATTTAAGTTGAGTACATTTCTTGTGACACCTGTTGAGCGTCGACTCGGTGAATCCACTCATATAATGAGCGCTGCTGAGTACAAGCCACACAACTGGTGAACCGAATAAATACACAAACCAGCGTCCAACGTGCGTTTCTGCCGGACGCCACCGCCTCTGAACAAGTTACGGTCATACTCGATGTAAACGTCTGATTTGTATCCAGGTTGTAAGGTCGAAACAAGAAATTCGATGGAAAGGCAGAACAAATCGGTTTGAGGTGAAAGAGCCCGAAGGTAAGCTGCATGGCGCAAAACTTCCATTGCGAGTTCGACAAGTCGTGTATGAACCTTGTGGCAAATAACAAGATAGAGGGCATATTCCTGAAGCATGTGATGGGAGACGACTTGTTGACTTGCCGGACGATTAGCTAGGACAAAGGAGGAGCGGTGGAATCCGTTATGGAGGACATCGATTGAAAGACCGAAAGATACTTTTGAGCGTGTGCAGGGATGTCTGTTGTGTTGAGATCATCCCAGTAGACAGATGGGCTAATATTTTGGCCTCGTAACTCGCTTAGGAAGCTTGAGAATGTCCTGCCATCGAAAATCTGTTCACTCCGAAACGGAATCTCGAGCCGCCGGTGTTGTGGATTAACGGGATAGTGTAAGTGATCCATCAAGCAAGGGCGGCATAAATCAGAAATGTAGGGGCAATCAAAATGGGCAAATGAATGGTAATTGAGATGGTCTGGGGGATACCCTGGACAATCTTTCTTCTGATTCTGTGCTACTGACCTAAAGCGCCTAACCATGGCAACATACCTTGGGGAAGGCTGTGGGTTTTTCTCTAAGGCTTCGCAGAGGTGAAGGCAATTCAAGGCCATTAACAAGCAAGCACTGGAATTAGAGTACACACCATCGATACTGGCGCTTCTTGGCAGCTAAAGAAGTTTTACCTACTCGGTATTAATCCAAGTTAGTTGTGCTTAACGAGTTAAGCATAAATGGTAGGTACGACACCCGGACTAAGTATACGTGCTGTAAGCTGAGCTGCGGACGAACATGATATTTGAAAATTAAGCAACCAGCTCTCGAGCCTCAGTCATGTCGAACATTGACAATATTGGTTTGCTAGTCTGCTCCGTATGCTTCTAGCGAATAAGTGCGACTGAATTTAAGTATCAACAACAGGAAAGGCAGAGGGACTCGAAATTGACATCGGAACCAGGAAAGAGTCGAATACGAGGTACTTTGAACATTACGAGTGCCACGCCCATTTCCCCCACAACCTTTGAATCGCTAGGTTAAAATGAACCATTTGCCATTGTTGCTGACGTTCTTTGGTGCACGGGCTTTTGGCGAGGAGCATTGATCGTCTCAACTCCAAGTTTTGAGTTGCTAGTTGCCGCGATCACTCCCACTTCCATATTGGCAGGCGTCAAATAAAATCCTTAAGCTCGTATACAATTTACGCAAGTCACTGAGAGAAAGTCCATTGATGCACTTCAGTCGCAGTGCCGCACTTTCACACAAACCTGGAGCCCTGGCACAGGGCTTTTTGTTTTTTGGCAAGGCCTTCGCGGACCCTTCAGTGTACGCAAATACGGGACACGTACGGCTCTTTTGAAAGTGTCCGGATGGATTCTGTGCCAAATCTTGTCTCGATTGGACAGAGATGCCGTAGAAAATATTTCAAAAGATTAGAAGGCTGAAAAAGGTGTTTAACCTTGGCTGGAAATGGATGAGCAGACCGGGAGCTGCTGCACCTATCCTTGAGCCATGAGATACTACTCTGATTCTTCTGCTAATGAGTGCTTCAATATCACAAGCATTCTATCCCTCCATTTGCTTCACTCATCATGGTTGTCTCCGGAGATAACACCCAAGTTGATGTCTGGAGCAAAGGATTCTCGAAGCATAATGAGGCGTACTACCTTTTCACTATCGCGAACGGCAAAAAGAAAGACTTCTCTAAGGGCTAGAAAAAGTTGGCGGAACAGGCGGGCCAGCCATCCCTTATCTCTACTTTGGTTAAGGATAAGTCGACCAGCAGACAGCAGCCGCTGCGTGCAATGGTAACAATCTCGCTGATTTGCCAAACGCTTTGATTGCTTTTACTGAGAAAGGCTTGGACGCTGTGAGTATCCCGACTAGGCCACTCATTACCAAACCTCACGAGGCAAGATCCAACCTGCCTTTCCCGCCAATTCCACACCTCTGGATTTGGCCTCTGTCAGAAACACGGATCCGGCAATTTCTAAAGGGATAGTAGAAGATAGGAACCTGGAAGTTCTTCAGCACGGCACCGTTACTCTAAATGTAGCTTTACCGTCGAATATAGACGGTCACATCAGGCTCAAGCCTCTCAATGGCAAAGCACAGTAACATAGCCCATTGACCCATTCAGAGCTTTAGACTTGCACAGCTTTGGATTTGAAGACCCAATTTCGCAGCCGTTGATAGAGGGGATTGACATGCTTGAGAGATCAGTTAGTGGCCCCGAACATGAATACTGACGCGAACATCATGGTCGTGTCGAACTCCGGTTTCACCAGCAAGAGGGGAAACATCCGGCGTGGATGAAGGACGGAATAACCCTTGTCTTTCGCAAACTTGAGCAAGATCTCAAGGCTGTTAGTGAACTTATTGACAAGTGGGCGACTAATGGCTGCACGAGCAGAGGGCAAATGAGCGCGAAGTCGATGGGACGATGGGCGAGAGGTAAGTGTTGGACAGGTTTCGTCATTTCTCCCCGGCGTTGAGAAAGTATTGTTGCTCACGAATTCTTGACAGGTGCTCTGGTTGCTAAATTGCCGGAAAGAGATTTAGATGACGAGAAGAAGGCGAAAACGTTCAGCGACCTCGACCACGATGGCATATACTCGAAAAGCCACTCCCCGGTTTATAACAGGCACCAACAACCCTGCTGGCGCCCGAGCCAGAATTCTTGGGACCGGGGTTCCATATGGGTCTGAACTCACGGACAAAACCTGACGAGAAGCCTGGTCTCCTCTTTGCATGCTATAAGAGCCATATTGAGGACGGGTTTCAATGTATTCAGAATGCCTACGCAAGCAGAGAGGACTTCATTCTGCGCGAGGCCGGTCTTGATCCATCCATCGGCAAGGCCCAGACGAAGTCGCCCATGACAATTCGCAACGCCCAAAATAAGGCGCACAAAGTTCCTGCATTTCCCGAATTGGTAACGATGAGAGGCGGCGAGTAGTTCTTTGTGCCGTCTATCTTTGCTTTGCGAAGTTCACTGGGCCAGGAATAAGGCAAGTGACACTCGGGAAACACCAATTCGCGGCATGGTAGTACTTTTTGTTATGTTTAGCTACTTGAATACAGTAATGTGTGAGAGATATAGGACAAGACGTACAGTGGGCGAGTCGAAGCTAGACCTAGAAGTGTACCTCTAGCAACGCTGCTTTACCTGCAAGGCTTATTTATAGTTTACTAGAGAACTCCTATGCCACTATAGGCGCCATGACGGTCGAAGGGGGGGAGGGGGGAAGTCCTAGCCGTCTACGGAGGACTCGGTACCGAGTAGAGGAGGGCCTCCCAAGGTGAGTATCTAGGGGTAAAGGTGACACCATCCGCGCAAAGGCGCCCAAGCTTTCCGCTGGTGACCAGATCGTACGACCGGTTTGAGTCGCAAGGCGAGGCTAGGATTATTATTCCTTGTAGGCTTCCCTAATTCGGTTGAGACGGAGGGGGACATCGGGCGACATCACCGGGGGATGGGTTCAGAGCAGGCTTTACTCATCTTAGCACTCCGCAGTTTGCCCTTCAATTTCCCGAGAGGTCGCAGTACAACCTGGCATCAACCCTGCAAAAACTCGTTCGTCACAGCGACCAATTATATCCCAATGATGCTTACAAATACATCGGATGCGCATCATCCTGCGCACGATGTCGACGCCCACACATCGGGATCGAAGTCCAACAAGTCCTCCTCCATCAGTCCCATGACGTATCTATTCCCTGAGAACCAGTCCCCCAGCCCCGGCGCTTGGTTCACTGCAGGGTCACTTCCGAGCCCAGGTTCGTCGCCAGTGACTGTGCCCTCGCACGGGTGCGGCTGGGAGATGAAGCCCAACTGGGACAGGTACATGTCAAAGTCGTTTCCCACCATGGTCATGTCGTGGTCATCCTGCTGTTGCACCTTGGCCTCGACATACAGAGCGGCTACTTGGTAAAGGACTTTGCAGAGACGATGCAGTTTTTCGATGCCTTTGGACATGGACAGCACGGGCTGGAGACCTGCTGTGAATTGCTCTAGGCGGCGGAGATCGTCCGCGCTGGATGTCTCAATAACATGGCAGAAGAGGACAATGAAAGGAGTAAAGGGAGAATATAGGATTGTCCTGCCCTGTGTGAGCAAAGCACGTTCGGTCGTAGTTAGTCGGGAGGAAATGACTCACCAATGCAGATAGCCTGCCTGTACAAAGGGTTTGTCCGACGTGATCCTCATGCATTCTTCGTGAGACTTGAACGCCATTCTCGCCGCTTCGAGGCATTCGGTATTAAACGTGCTGGGGATACCCGGTGCACTTGGGATCGCGCGGTATATCAGAGTCAGGGAGGCCAAGTGGCTAACCTCACCCGACTTGAGGATCATGTCCAGCGACATTGTGCGCCATTCTTTGTCCTTGAGACTCCCACTAGATGCTTCCATAATCGTCTTGCTTTCCCGCTTCATGGCCGTTCTCAACTCCTCGAGCTCCTTCCACAGATGTTTGATCTTTTCAACCAAGAGTCGCGCAGTCTCGATCCGTTGTGCTGGCTGTCGAGCCAGAGCCGTTGGACTGTACAAGTGCTCATACGTCTCGCCCAGTACGCTTCCGGTCTGGATCCAAAGGTTGATCGCATTCTCCCATGGTTCCATTAGATGGTTGTTGCTAAAGCGGCGTGGGGTCGAGATATCCCAGTCTTGCATGACCGACGCGCGCCCAAAACGCAATGCAAGGCCCTTGTCCAATATGTAGCAGAACCAGAACATGGCGCCCTTTATGTTATCGGCCTCGCCCTGAGTAGCCTGGAGACGATGCCAGCCTAGCGTCTGGCAGATGGCAGCTGCGGCACTGTTGAGTTGCCACCCAAGCGTAAATTTTGAGATCTCGATCGAGTAGGTAACCTATTTCGCAGTTAGAAAGGACATTACGGAGGTAGCCGGCAAGGAACCCAAATAAATAACCTACACCAAGCAGTAGAGCTTCAACTATTTCCTTATTCGGCGGTAGAAGGAGCGGCAGGTTGGCCAAGGCAGTCTCCAGGTTGTCCCTGCACAGGTAGTGATATTGTAGGTAGTCTTGGCTTTCGGACTCGTCCATGAATGACTTTTCTTGGAAAATGTAGTATAAACCGGCATTCACAATGATGAAGATGGCGGTGCTATAGTCCTCGGTCGCAAAGTACACTTTCCGACAGGATTCTATAAAGGCTTCGACGGTGATGAATGTACAGCTCATCGTAAAGATCATGGGCGGTGTAACTGCATCGTGTTAGATCCTTGGCACGAACCTGACACTGACTGAACGAAGTCCGTCGGGACGGTCCACTGACCCTTGATCTCGCGTAATAGCTTTAGAACAACATCCGTTGGCGGTAACGGTAACTGGCTGAGGCCTCCCTTTGGCATTGGTTTCTGGTGAGCAAACGTACTCTCCTGGGACGAGTCCTTTCGGTGCTGCATCTGGACCATTTGTCGTAGGGACGCCAGTGCATTCTCGATGTTGGGACTAAGTTGTCGACTGAGAGAGGTGTTCGTTACTGCCTGTTCAAGGAATTCGCTAGCGAGCACGGTGTGGGCTGTCATGGAAGAGTTGCCTTCGAAGGCATGGTCGTTGTCTCCATCTGCCAGTAGTTCCTCGTATACAGAGCTGGACTCAGCTAAGCTTGGAGGTGTGTAAGTTCGGATGGGGGCGCTGGCGCTTCCCGAGGCAGATCCGTCACCACGGTTTAGAGACGTTGTAAGATTGCGGAGCATCTCCTCGATTCCTCCAAGGCGGCTCTCGAAGTGGTCAATCTTGCGTTCGCTAAATTACCATTAATCCTTATTCGTAGTGAGTAGTGGACAAACAGATGTCATACTATTGGTGGGAGATCAGCACCCTTTGCCTGGCTTGCCTGGGCTTCTGCCCTAGGCCCGTCCAGATGCATTCCCTCTTTGCTATCCTGCAATTGGAGCATGGGCTTTCCTTGTCACATCGTATCTAGACCCCTGATCAGCATGTGGCATAGTGTGGAGGATATGAGAAGAGAGTACCTTTCGGGAGCGACACTGGTCACACTGTCAAGTTCATATAGCGCTTGTTAGCAGATTGAGTGGCTCATGATAATGCAGGTCTTCGAATTAAGGTCTTGGAGATTAAAAAAAAAGACGCAACACACTCCATACAGGTACATACAGCTCTTCGCAGCAGCCCAGACCGGTCCGGATCTTCGCCCGCTTCGGCCATTTGATTGGGATCTACGTGATCGGATTGTTCAATTTTGAGAAGTCGGCGATTCAATCCGCGTACGGAATCCAGAATCTCGGTCTCGGTGGAGGAGCGAGGCTTGTAAGTCTTCGGAGCCCGCGGGTAGAGAAGGGAAGTGAGGAAAGGGACTCAACCATATGCGTCCTGGATTCAACGTTGATGTTTGATCTTTGGGCAAGCTTTCGCATCGAGCAATGCGAAAGGGGCCACCTGATGGTTCCGCGGAGCCCCGAAGCCGACCCCGCAAAACAGGAAGCGTTATGGACCCCTTTTCGAATTAAGGGGCAAGGCTGAGGCAAGGCTAGCCAACCTCTGATGAGATGGAGGGGCAGCATCTACCGAGTAAAGTTCGAACAAATATCGACTTCGACATTGTGATCTGCCACCACGCACGGCTAAGAAATACACCAGGTCTGTCTCGGAAACTCTATTTCAACATCCGGAAACCAGCATTTCTCTCTGAAGTCTGGGATAGCTGTAATAATCCCCCACACGGTCTGTTCGGTAACGTACGGCGGGCGATCTACCTTTTGGAGTAACCTTTCAGTGTGAAGCACGCAGATATATGAACCGTAAATGACCTCGTCTTCTACTGAACAGTCAGCAAGCAAGACCGCCCTGGTGTTTTTGGAGTTCTCGTCAGGGACCCGCTGCATGACAAGTCCGTAGGCCGTGCCGGTGGGAATGTTTGCGATATCCCAGTATGCTCTGCCATCGGGACGAAGCCCGGTGGTTGCCCAAAACCGCTTTGCGGTGGCCCTGGATTCGAAACAGAAAGTCGATGTGAGGGGTTTGGGAATTGTGCCGAATAGCAGGCCCGGGAACGTAACGACTACGCCCCTGTTGGAAATTTGCAAGGGCAGTTCGTCTTGGGTCTCTCTCCGCGTCAGGAATGCCACTTCAGTTTCTCTGTCCAAGTCTAGAAACGTCGATGGTGCCCAGCGGAAGCCTGGGGAAGTCATTTTGGGCCCGCGCATGAAGATAACGCTCGGACTTAGGAGGTTCTTTAGGGCGGGAAGGAGTGCTAGCCACCTCTGTTCTCCATCGTCGTCAACGGCGAGGACCTCATCAAGGCCTACTCCGAGGAGAGTTGCGACAGAGATTGCTTCGTCGGTGCGCCAGCTTGTCGTCCGACCTGAAAGCGCAAGCGCAACAGCCAGTAGGCGCGGTTGAGCAGACATTAACTCGAGTTGCAAGCCCGCGACGGTAAGGGGGAAAAGCAGGAGGTTTTTCCGCACATCCATGGTAATAACCACATCGCTGGACGCGCTCCACCGATGGAAGTGTACAGGGAGATGGATCAATCTCTCATACCCGTCCGATAATTGCAAGTGAATTCGCTGGGCAACCACGGCTTCTTGAAAGGTCCACATTCTTCGAGTCCAAGTTGACAAGTTGAGTTGGTATAAGATATCGTTCTCTGGCATCGAGGAACTGCAACGCATCATGAAAGAGTCTAGAGCTAGGACTAGCGCGGCGTTCCTGAAGCAGCCAGTTAGCTTGAGGATGGCTAACTTGCGAGTCCCGGGATCAAGCGGCACACATAAAGTGTCCATCCAAAAATACAAATTCTGAGGAGACGTTGTAAATGCGACTAAGATATTCTTCAGTCCGCTGAATATCAATGACTTCACATTGGGAATGTCAGCCCTAGAGCTTAAGAGGATGTTCCGGAGCTCCAACAATTGGCAAAGAGGAAGTGAGTTTGAGGTTGGGTTTCCCAATCCATCAGACCACCTTTCTGTCATTAGCTAGCGCTGAGAGAAGTTTTCTATATCATTGATCAACTTACACATGTGAAATCGCAGTGAAGGGGATACTGGGCTCCCACTCGACCACTTCAAGTTGAACGTTTAGGAGACGCGACTTGCCGTCCAAGAAGCGTGGCGTTCGGAGTGATATCAAGGGAATGCCACCACTGTGTAGGATGCTTTGGACTTTCTGAATATCTGGACTTACATGACCGCAGTCACAGACAGAACTTCGCTTCCCGTACCAAGCGCGGTTGACCCGGCGCAAGACAGCCGAGTGTGGCTCCCACCATCGGGGCCTGAAGACGAGTTCTGATCTGGCGTGCTGGGTGACATATGTGGCCTTGTCAATGTTGTTTGCCACGCAACGACTCCCCTGGCATTTTGAATGATCGAGGCCGCGGTTGGGAATGGAGCCCTGTAGATAACCGTAGTAGATGAAACGCATCCCATATCGATGCAACAAGTATGCTAAAAACGCTTGACACCAGCCAAGATCTTGCATCTTTTCAAGCAACCACTGGCTGCCTAGGGGCCGGAGACTGAGTCGTGAACCATAGATATCCACCAGTTTGTGCTTGATAGTCTCGGCCAACAACACGATTGAGAGCTCAATTTCTCCCGGCAAAACAGCCCGAAGGAGCTGCTGGAAATCACGATCCTCGGCATCCCTGGCAGTAGATGTTGCCTCAGCGAAGAGGCGAAGAATGTGAAGCGCTACGTCTACCTCAGAGTTGATTCTCCCAAATGCGTGCTGCCTTTGCTCCTCGGAGGCCGAGCCCGCCTTGCTTTCCAGATCCTTTAATCCCGAAACGAGAGCCTTTCCTGTAACAAACAGTCGCAGTGGCGTCCCGCCATTTGGCAGTTGATCCGGCGGACTAAGAACGCCCCGGCGATCCAGATCCTGGAGGACTGTACAAACCCTTTGATGATCCCGTTTCAGAAGGCGGGTGAAGTAATTCGTCGTTGTAAAATCAGGCTGAACCACAACGAAGCTTGACAGGTGGAACGGTATCTCTGCAACAGAAAACACAGTTTGGATAATGCCAAAATAAAGCCAATGCTGAAGAAAAGCCGCTGCAGTCGAAGGCTCTTTCCCATCTAGCTCTCCCCTGAGCAGCTTGGTGATATCCCAGCCAGATCGCCTCGGAAAATCCTCGAAGCTGCCATGGTCGTAGCTGGAACATCCGAAGAGTAAGGCCACAGGCAATTCGTGCTGTCGAACCCTGGGCAGAGGAAGGTAATCCATATCAAGAACAATCCGCCAAAGTGGTCGATGCCTCGAGAGGCTTGTATTCCTAGGTCAACATGGGGGTGAGGCGGCTTGATGGAAGCCCAGCGTATTGTTGCCTCTCCCAATACATGACAATCTCTTAGCGCCACCCACCAACCCTAGGCTTCTAGCCTTGATATAGGTCGGGTCGGCCCGGCGGATTTCGGGTCGTAGGATGTTGGTAGCTTCAAGGTTCGAAACAAACGAGTTCCTCGATGGCTGTGAGATAAGAAGTTTGGCTTGGAACGAGCAGGAGTCAAGGGTTTATCTCAAGTCATTCAAGGAGGCTTTAATGTTGCCTAGGGACCAAGACAGACAAGGTCAACTAAAATATGTAGTTCTGGAGGCAGGAAGCGCATTCTCTTCCTGCTCGTAACATTGTAAATCCTTCATGTCCGCGATACAGATCCCGGGGTATCTAATGTTTACATATCCTTGCTTTCTGAACATGCTTTTTGGTTTCCTCGTTCATAACTCCGTCTCCTTGCACGGAGATTCATCAAAAGCAATCAATCTTTTCGTCAAGCATTGGGGCAGCTCAAGTCTCTCATTCTCGACTGCGGTTCGGCGTCCATCTCCTCACATTGACATCCCGAATCTTATATCTTGAAAACAAAAAGCCTATATCCACGTCCTTGCGCTTCTCTACATCTTTCAGTGGCGGCGGGACGTCCACATAACAAAGCACCAACTGTTTATGCACCTGTGCCTGTACTCGATTAATTCCGTGTAACCACCACCAACTCTTCCTACTTGTTTTCTTCTCAATTGCTTTCCGTTGCTCCGGCGACGTAGATTCTGTCCAGTACGGATCGGTGTACGAGGGGATGATGGCAACTGCAAATTCCGCATGAGAGAACGCCGGACCACGGTTGTACAGGAGGTAGTCGGTGGAAAATTTGACGCCGCTCCGTACAACCCAGCCCAAGGAGCGATAGTGGTGGTAGACCGTGTAAGAAATCATAAAAGGGTCGTCAGGCTCAGCCGGAACAGACAGGGATCGGGGAGGGTGATACGAATGACGTCGGAAGAGGGAGAGCAGAGAAGTTGGGGGGAGGACAGTATTGCTGTCATCGCAGTAGATATCGAGCACACCGAGGGCGTAGGAGAGGAAGAATGCCTCTTCAAGTGAGACATTCAAGTGCTCTTGGTTTTCTTGTTGAACGGGCCTTTCGCTTTCCGGGATGGCATCTTCAAGCGGCGAGGTGCCGGGACTTTTGATGGGCGATATCACGGGAGAACTGAGGTCAAATTCGCGTGCTTCGATAGTGGGAGAGAATCGGACTATTTTCGTTCTCTGCAGTCGTTTCACCGGCCGGCCTTCAGCTTGACTGGTATCTGAACAAGTTGATGTAGGCGGCGGAGTTGGGATCCCATTCGCCTCGATTGCCTTTTTCCACTCCTCAAATCCATGTATTGAGTCGTTTTCTTTGTCTTCTTCGGCCTCAGGCGTTGGGGTCCCACTAGCTGATTCTAATACACTCCCAATGTCACTGATGTTTTGAGCATTTGTTTTGAGAACGTTTTCCGTTAGAACGCCGTTAATGTGGCTGTTTAGACTACCATTCTGAGGCAGCTGATTCAATTTCAGCTTGTCGGATGTTTGGCTTAGATTGAGATCGACGTCGCCGTCCGGCTGTGACTCTGGCGCCGGTTCCTGCTCAACGCTGTCGTCCAACTCGACAATAATATTGCCGTTTTGCTGCGACTCCTCGGACAATTTCTGATCAATCTCTTCTTGCTCCTTCCGTGCCCGTTCTTGTTTCAGTTGCCTCCTTTGCTCCCTTCGAGATGCTGTGTTCTCTTCCGCTGTCCGGCCTTTCTTCTTTCTATTCTCTAACCAATTTGGCTCACTTCGGCTGAGACTACCTCTTCCAAAAAACCCCATTTCCCATAGTTTGCGTATCGTGTCTGGGTCGGTGACGTGGACGGAGGAGGTTGCCGAAGAGAAGTAGCCGTTGTACGTCGGCCGAGTGGGCGGAGAAAGGACTTGGACGAGATATGAGAGGGCAATGGCAACTAATGACAAAGGGTTGTGGGGGATTAAAACAGGAAGCGGATGGACTTCGATGGGGAGAAGATGGCGATGAATGTGGTTGTAGTTTGGTCTCTTGGGCCGTTTCGGGGGCTTCGAGGAAGGTAGTCTCGTCGACGAGGCCTCAGGGCTCACGGGAGGTGCAGAATCTGAGGCCATGATGGATTCCTAGCCTAAGGTCAGCCTTGAGGAATTTTCACATGTTCCAAAAACAAATTCAGAGCCAGCAGCTGAAAGTCGATCCCTCAGATACCGTTGTAGTCTAATACATAAAGCCAACACTGAAGAGAAGCTGAAATCAAAGTGCAACCTCCTCGGCAAAAGCAAGATTGTCATCATCGGGAAGATGGAAATGTCGCGTGGTGTGATTCAGAATTGGGCATACTCACGTCCGTATCCGGTCTGCCGTGTGGTGAACGGAAGCAATCAAAGGAGGAATCAAAGTGAGGTGAATTCGTCCATCGCAGGCAGTCCTCGCCGGTGGAGTGGAACAAGCGTGCCGTTCGGAGCAGAAGACGAGGTGCAAGTCACTCGAAATGGAAATATTTCTGCCAAATGGTGATAACAGCTGGTCTGGTTGGGTTGCAGAGGCCTCACTCATCAGCCTTTGGTGGTCAAACCAACTGCAATTTTCGGGTGGTGAGGTTCGCGGGGAAATGTTTGGCGACGGGAAATTTTGAGGTCGCCGGTCGCAGATTCTTGCCCTGGTCTGAAATTTCTCCAACACCAAAAATTACACCCAACCACGTCCCTGCGATTTTGAATCAACTGCGCCCGCGACTTCTCAACAGACATAGACGCAAGCAATAGGACAGCGTACGACACAATGCATCTCATGTACACCGAAGACCCCGTTACGGGCAAGCGAATCTACACGCTGAAAAAGGTCCTCGACGGTACCGTCACAAAATCCGCCCATCCTGCCCGATTTTCGCCAGATGATAAATACTCGAGGTACCATTTGTGGTGCGCTGAGTTAGAAAAACACTAACACAACTCGCAGACATCGAGTGACTCTGAAGAAACGATATGGGCTCCTTCTGACACAGCAGAGTGCGTTTCCTGGCCGCGCGATCTGACCTCCGAGAGCTCGACGACTGATTTGTTCGCAGATAATGAGAAGAAATGACGGGATTCTCAAGGCGTTATGGAGTTCGGCGTCATCATGCAAAAGCCGGAAGGGGGCAAAGGGAAAATATACCCAGACAAGATTCGGGGGAGAGGGGTGTCACAGCGCATTCAATGCATTGATTGACATGATCAACTATGCTACCGCTTTCTCGAGTTGACTGTTCGGCCAGCCCCTACCCTCGGTCTTCCCGTGGTATGGCCTCTGCCCCCTGAAAGGATGCCTGGCAGTATATCCTCATCCATCAGATCCTTTTCCCTCCTCGTATCCCTCTTCATCTGCGCCATGGCTCTCACGTACTCCTTCTGATCCTCTGCCAGAATCAGCTCATTCCCCCATCCACCCTGGCCTCCTCCCCCGTGCCGCGGCCCTCGCCATTTTTGATTTGCGCTGCCACTCGTCGGTTTTGGAACCGAAAAGACATTGCCTTTATTGTTCCATTGCATGTTCTTCTTCAAATGCAACTTCACTTCTCCTTTATCATTGGTCGTACAAGTTACCCTAGTCAGGGTGGGTTTCCCGCACCGGGGGCAGAACTGCTTAGACAGGTCCCTGGTGGTGGAGAAACAGGCGTGACATCTCAGGATGAATTGTTTGATCTGCGAGATCCTTTGGCAGGTCTTGGTGGAGATGAGGTTCAGGTTCATTTGAAGGAGAACATTTTGCATCGCGAAGTCGCCCGTCATGGTGGCCACTTGGAGATGTTTGGGCAAAGACTGTGACGATCTGCTGTTTCCAGATTCATCCAGGGCTTGTCGGCGTTTAATGTTGGAGGGGGTGATCCATCCTTCATCTGAATTGGAGTCTTCTTCGTTCTCTGTCGGTTGTTTAGATATTATCTCTGACGGGAGTGCTGAGGGTTGTGTTGCTGCCTCTGTTCCATCATCGCCGGCCCCGATTGATTCCTCTGCGTTGGCTTGCTTTTGGCTCTCTGGCTCTTCGAGGGTCATGGTTTCCACCTTATCCTCAATAAAGTCCAATTCTTTTTCTGCTTCATTTTCCACATCCTCTTCCGCATTCTCTGTACTCAAAATCTGATCCTGACTCTCTCCTTCCTTCACCGCGTCCTGCGGCGGCGGCGGCCCCCCATTAAGTCTCTTCTGCCCGGGGGTCGTCCTCAACCTCCAATTGCCCCCATTCCTCTCACACTCGATCTCATATGCCAATGCCAAAATCTCAAAATCAGTGTGACTTAGCACGGCGCCGTCGCCCGTCTTTCGCGCAAACTCTCTCACGACTTTTAAACTCTCGGGGTTCGGCGATCGTATGGTCAGGAAGGGTTTGTAGAGGGTTTCGACTCTGATCCTTGCTTCTTCCGTCTTGATTTCAGCGAGGACAGAGGGTGTGGTCACTAGGACATGGCCGTTGGCGACGAGGGTGGAGATCCCAGGCGTATTGAGCAGGAGCGGCGAAGCGTCGAGGATTATAGTATGAACGGGCTTCTTCTCAGTTTCTTGAGACACGGGAGAAGAGTCGGTCATGCCGGAAGGGCTTGTTGGGTTTCAGTGATTGCGGGTTCACTCGTTCCTGCTCGTTCATGGTAACATGGATTAAAGCCTGGGCTTGTGTGCCACAAAAATTCAAGTCGCGATACATAATACGTCAGGGCCTGGGCCAGGATAGGCGGCCAATCAGGCCCGACCAAGCGCCTAGGTGGAGCTACTGCGAATAGACCATATTTCTCCCACCGTGCCCACCTTATTCCACAGTATTCGGTCCTCCTTCCTCTTTCTATCATCAGTCTGTGAAAACTGCTTAGCGGGATCAGGGTAGGCGTTTCGTACATCGCGAGCTCGTACCTCGTACGTTGTGCGTGAAGGCAGATCTGCAACCCTATCGTTTTTGTCTGTCTGTTGTTTATATTGACATGAACCATTCTCGATCCGCCATAGCCACCGAACTAGGCCTAACACCTTCTGAATGGTAAATCAAACAGAGTTGAAGCAATCAAACGAGAGATGACCCTTCCACTCTGCAGCAAATCCAAAATCCTCCACAGGAGAACAAGTCGTCCTGTTCAGTCCTTGACAGAGTGAACTTCAACCAAACGATGATACCAATCTCACATCCCTCAAGCGTTATCTGACCATCCCGCTCCCCAGTCTCGGCATACTCTGCCTTCTAACGAACTGGGCCTGACTTGTCCTCCTCGAATTCAGTTCTCTCGAAGCATTTGTATTCGTCCTCGAGAGCCTTCTAGACTCCGAGGTCCCAGATGCGGAAGGCAGGTAGGAGAGGCGACGGCCGTCATTATCGGCGCGTGCATCTGCCAGGGATTGGGCGAAGGGTGATCGCTTCCGAAGGGTAGGGCCATAGTAGTAGATGACATAGACGGCAAGGACGAGGAGGGTAGCTATGCAAGCGAGAATGGTACAAGCATAGTTCAGATGGCGGCGACCTCCAATATCTGCGAATTATGGCATTAGTCTCACACCTTCAACACAGGACACAGTCAAGCTTACTTTCAAAGAACGGTGTAGCTGGAATGGTAAGAACGCCGGCAAGGAAATCTCTCGACCACCCATTGCCGCCCGTGGCAGACGCAGAGTACGGACCGTAGGCGCAAATCATGTAGTCGATGGTGGCCATGTAGATGGCATAGTTGGCTAGACCGACAAGAGCAGCGAAGATCATGGAGCCGATCCAGTGAATTGGGGGTCCTTGAATTGTCCAGGCAAAACCAAACAATCCAATAGGCAAGCAAGGAGCCGTCCAAAGAAGCCACCAGAGCCGCGATTCGTACTGGGCTTTTTCGTCGCCTGGCTTGGATTCCCTTTCATGAATATTGCGCTTGATGGCTGGAATGAACGAGATCCACGCAATGACATACCCAATCCCCAGGGGCAGAAAGGCTAAGCCAACTGCAAAGACTGCAAAGTGCCACTGCGCATATACCAGAGAGAAAGATTGAATGAACATGAAGATGAGCGCATCGCTGAAACCGCTGAGTAGCGATAGTGTGAGGACGATCGGCTCGGTAAGGAACATCTTGAATGGCCGGATCCAAGTGATGAGGACTTCCTTAACTGAGAAGCGGTCTCTGAAAGGTTCGAGTTCGTTCGGCCCCCAGATGTTTTCACCGGTGGCTTTGCGTCTTCTCTTCGCAACTCGGTTCATGATGATTGTCGACCGCGTTTCGGGGACCAGAAAGAAATGACAAGCCTGGACAAAGCCACCAAAGATGAGCTGGATCCAAATCGTCCACCTCCAGCTGCTGACATATTGTTCAACAAATCCTCCGACTATTGGTCCAAGGACGGAACCGAAGACAGACGAGAAGACCACATAAGCCACAGCACATTGCTGGTTATCCGAATCCCACATATCGGCTGGTAGGAGGTCAGTGAAAGAGTAATGCACAAGGCGGGAAGGACCGACCGATCATTCCCAGGGTCACTGAGCCACCAGCAGAGCTGAGGCCGCCTAGGGCTCTTCCAACCATGATGGATGCAAAGTTAGGGGCCAAGGCGACCGGAAACTGCCAAATGTTGACCAGGGTCAACGAGAGCTGCAGGATAGGCCATCGGCCCAGTTCCTCGCTCCAAGGCGCCCACAGCTCGCAGCCGAACGCATAGAGTACCAAGAAGATCATGGCGCCGCACCGTGCGGCTTGCATACTGACGTGGTATTCCTCCGAAATACCTTTCAGCCCATTGGAGTAGAGGCTAGTATTGAAGTTCATGGACAGTTGAACCAGGAAGATTACAGTAAGGATTGTCCATTTCTTCCATTCGGGATAGGCGTAGCCGAGTTCGCTCAAGCAGTCCTCCTCAGTGATTTCGATCTTGTCGAAGGTTTCGGGTTCGTCTTCGGATTCCTTGTCGGCCTTCTGTTGAAGCAGTGTCCTACCGACCTGCTCCGCTTGTTGCTGGGCATCGTCGTCTGGCTTCACTGTAGATGCTCTCTCCCACTCCCCGTTTTCCTCCTTGCCGTCAGTTGAAGTCTCCGACTCTGCGGAGGGCATGTTGAATTGCGGATGTCGATCACGCGGCGCCATGAGGAAACAAAAAGATGCGATCGGAAACCAGTGATCGCTTATCCGGGCATCGAAATGGCAGCCGTAACAATTTGTCCCCAGATCGTGTCAGCAACTGCAAACGGGAAATATGGGGGAACGGAGCAAGTATATACAAGTTATGCTTGGGGGATATGGATGGGAATCCACCCTCCACAAGAATGCCTTAGTCAACTAAGGGCCTTGAGTAGCAAAATACGATGGGCTATGATATCAACAGTATCCATCTGATACCCTCGAAGTGGAGCAGGAGGATAACGGTGCGAATCAAAAGCCAAAGCTCTGCACAATGACGAAGGAACGATCACGGCCAGCTTCCAGAAACCTTGGACTAGTCGGGTGCAACCTTCAGGGCGAGAAGCTTCGAGGCAGGCGCGCCTCTCGCCATCCAACCCTTCATTCATCATCCGATACATTTGGTATATTGGGTAGCTGGATGGGGGGAGACCGACTGCACGAATCCAGGCAAAATAGCGGAGGTCAAAGAGATGGCAAGCGAAAATCCCTCTCTTCTGCGTGGGTACGTGTGGGAAGGCTGGAAGAGGCTGCGTGGCTTGAGGATGGGACTTTGGGTTGATCTCCCTCGCAGCCCATCGAAGATCATGATGGCGGCACCAGTGGTGATGACCATCCTGATATTATCAACCGATTGAATGACGTCGACGGTTCGCTTTCAGGCACCATCTGTGCCATCAGGCCTTGCGCCGGAACCTTGGAATCAACAAGCAGTGATCTGCTCGGGAATCGGCAATGATGTGCGTTTAAGTGGGCGCCGAGCATTTTATATGGTTCCACTGGCGCAACATGAGTCAGCTTGAATACGGAATACAGATCGTTGACAGAGCTTGAAGAGGGAGATATCCAGGGACCTGGTCGGGAGAATGGCAATCGTAGCCATGGCAAATTCATGCGGGAGCCGTCCATGCTGCCTGTCACATGACCTCGTGCCGCTATACTTCATGCTCCATACCCATCCATCATTGTCCACCGAGACCCTCAGGCCCCCTCTGGTGGTCATTCGCCGAGATCGACATTCATCCTCCAAATCCTGCAAGCTTTGCCATAACTCCATCGACGTTAACCCACATTTTATCCAGACCTGGCCCCTTTTCATTGTGTTGTAACATTGCATTAATCGTGTCCGAGGTACCAGCCTTGGGTAGATGAGCACCAACGCCGCGCTGAAAGCAATGCTCAAGAGCAACTGTCTCATGAATAGATTGGGAGCACTCTTTTCCTAGCTCTTTGTTGCAGCGTCGGGAGTCGCCCAGAGTGAGTTCCGGCAGCTCCGCGTCTTGCCATGACCGGATTCGTCGTTGCGTTGCTGCCGTCCGAACCATCATCTTGGAAGACTTGTAGGGTATTGATCGCCCAGTAAGCATCGGCAAAGTCTTTGGGATTATTCGCCACATAGTCTTCGCATGTCGGTGCCAGAGATGCACAAGACGACGTGTTCCAGACGGCGCCAGCCCACTACACGGAATCAATCAGCACAGGCGCGCTAAGCTCAAAATACGGCGATATGCTTACCTGCCCGCAGAAGGTGGTGTCAAAGACGATCTGGAGATTCTTGAAATGATCGTCGATGTTGAATGAGCCTTGGAAGAGCGAGTTTGGGGTACCCCAGTTTTCGGACGGTGCCGGATTGCTACTGACAATATCATCGGGGAAGGTCCCTCGTGGAAAGAACCATATTTTGATGAAATTCGACGTCCATTCGGTTGCAAAAACACCTCCTCCGGCCTCATTGAACTCGGGTCCAAAGGTCAAATTGGAAATGTCGCCAATTGAACATCCCGCATTCATGGGTTGATCGGGGGCATTGACGTCGCAATTCGATGTGATCAATTCGCCTGAGAAGTCGGTGCCATTGCTGATCACCGCACCTTGTCCGGTATGCAAAGTCATAGAGTTGGTAGGTTGGTCATTTACTCCCTCGACGATATCGATCTCTCCGTTGTTCGGCCAGTCCGCCCCCACCATCCAGAACGCAGGCCAAGTGCCACAGACACCGCCCGGCATGTGGACAATGTCGGCAATGACTAAGGCATGTTGAAATGATTGTGTTGATGAGACTCGTACAGCAGCTCGACCCTGTGGAGCGACGTTTTCAGTGTCTACACCCATATAAATGGCGAAAGATGCATTCCCCCCCTCTATGAACCCTGCTATTCCTGTTGAATTTGCCTGCTCCAGAGATTGGAACTGTACGAGACCGTCGGTGGGATCCGGGTCCGTGAAGAAGTCGAAGCCTTTCCAGAAGGCGTCTCCGGAGTAATCTTGGATCAACTGGTACACAGCCAAAGTCGGTTGGAAGACGATGCTGACCAGCAGCATGAGCATGAGCAGGGAAGTTCGCGCCATCCCGATGGCGATGTCTTCTACCTGAAAGGATTGAGGTTTGGTCGAAATGAAGGTTTCTTTGATTGCTGAACTCGCAATAGAGAGTGTGGGAAGGAGAAAGGTACAAGCCGTGATTCAATCACCGAGCGACAGTAGGAATGGCGAGCAGGCACAAAAAGAAGAGCAATGTCGCAAGGCGAGCAGAACGAAGGAGAGGCTTGCAAACAGAACCTGTCAAGAGACGAAGGGCAGTGAAAGAAAATCAATCTACACCTTTTGATATGAATAAACATTCCCAGAGTGAATTCGCAGGGAAGGGGCGCAGCTGGGAAACCTCGTGCATTTTTCTGCCGGTACCTTTTACTGGGAGGGAATGCCATTCTTGAGATTGTGGTCCTTCTGGCATCCATCGTGCTGAGTCTGGAATCTGGAATCGGGAATCTGCCAACTTGGAGACATGGGCGACCACCTGGGCAGCCGTACTCAGTCCTCACCCTAGGGCGGGCGCTGTCAACGGTAGGCGATCGTAGTAGATAGACAGTTTGGTAGTTTCCAAGCGGGCCATTCATTGAGCCAGTCGAGATGAAAACGCGTTGACGAAGGTGAAACGAAGGCTCAGAGGAGTAAATGAGAGTGATGTGAGGTGGTGAAACGCGTTTCGGCAATCTCTCTCCATCCCGCCGCATCGCGTTCGCAGGCGCCAAAATCGTCTGGTCACTGGTCACCGTTGGTCGACGCCCGCATCCGAACCGACCACCAAACATTCTTCCACTGAAACGACCTTCTAGCCTCCAAGATTCTTGTTGCTCTACGCTTCGACTCCGTATTAGCCCATTGCGCAAGATATGGCTGTTCTATTTCAGATCCCCCCTTGGCCGCTATCATGACCGCAGTGGTACCGCCACAGCCCACTGCGCCCACACCGACAGCGAAACTCGATACAACGACCCAAACGCCTATTGCTGACCTTTCTCCCTCCCACACAGAGCCTGCTGCCCACATCCTTGCACAGGTTGCTCTTGTCTGGCCCTATTCTAGCTCAACAGGAACACTTGCCTTATTATTAGCTGATCCTGACATTCGCAGACGGAAATCTAAGGGCCAGGTTAAAGTCGTATTCCGCAGCGGGTGCGCAAGAGAAGTTGCAAAGACCCAGGTGGGCATTGGGGATACCGTGAAGCTTGCATTGGTCGGTTGCGAGTGGAAAGAGACGGGCAGTGTTGTTTCTACACCAGGCAGAAAGATAAATTGGGACCTTGAATACAGTACTCGTGTCCTTCTACAAGTCCTACAAGGAGACCAAGAGACAGTCGGGGTAGATTTTACCGGAAATGAGACCAACTCTTCAACTGCAAATGGAGTACTTTCCTATCTCCATGGAGGTGCCGACGAACGACCAATGCTCAACGGTGTTATTCATCACCAATCCAGTACAATCCATGTCCCATACTTAACGCCCAGAAAGCCAGTCGGAAATCATTCCATCGGAACTTTCATTGATGCTGCATTTGAATCTTCGGCGGCAGACGATGGCTATATCCTCGGTCGAGGTCGAAAGCGTACCAAATTCGCGAGAAGCAGTGGAGCATGGAGTCTCATCGATTTCGAAGAGGACAGCCATTTAGGAGCCGCCAAGAAGGCCGACGTGAACGATGAAGATGCTGCGCAAGGTCAAAGTCCTCAAGCTAAAGAAGTTGTTCTGGCACCAGAACCAGCTGCCCTCGGCGAAGAAGATAAACCGGAACCTCAGACGGCCAGCAAAGTCTCGAGAGAGGATGTGCACCAATTTCCTATAGTCCAAGCAACTGAAGAAGACGTGGTCGACATCTCGAGCTCAACTACTGCGGATTCAATATTCCCTCGCCTGGTGACCCAACCACTGGTGATGGGCCCGCCTCAGACGCCACTCAGAGCTTCTCCCCACCTGCTACCTGTGATAAGTGGTATGGATGATCTTGACGCCAGCGACGGCTCGGAGGCTGCGACCACACCGCGACTTCTTCCTATACCATCTCCAGGACTTCCTCTAGTGTCTCCGTTAGTCCATCGTTCGGGAGTCGAGATCGGATATTTTCAGCGATTAGATGTGAGTATATCACAATTGGACGCGTCGAGCGAGAAGGAGAAAAGGGCCATAATCCCAGACATCCCGACAGGGAAGTCGATTGATCATCAATCACTACATTCTGATGAGCCCTCAGTTGTTGTAGAGGAGATCTCAATGTCACAGGACCCGGTCGAAGGCTTCGAGACTAAAGTTGCCGCGCATAGAGACACTGTGCAGGTATCTCCCGAATCTGAAATGGAGATCGAAGATCAGGGAACTGCAAAGAAACCCGCATATGAGGCGCCACAATGGCTTTCGTCACTGGAGTCCAGCATTGATCGAGAACTTTTTCATTCACGAAATGAGCCAGCTGCGCAAACTGAAACCCAACGCACCCCTCAAACCGCCGAAGTTGAGGATGACGATCTCTATGGCGCTCCTGTTGATATGCCGAAGGCAAGCGGTTCTTTTACGACGTCACCTTCAGTTGAACAACCTAGGAGTCCGCTCGATGTCCTTGAACAATTTCTGCAAATGTCTCCAGTCACAGCCACTAGAT